TTTTGCAATGGTGACTTTAATAAAGAGTGGTAGTGAAAATATAGTGTTTTGGATGCAAAACTTTATCTATCACAAGTGTTCGGTATGGAATTTGGACGAGAAAGATGTAAATTTTAATGGCAAACGACTGGTAATGTAAGTACGTTTAGTCTTTTAATTTCCGGTAAAATAAAAACGTATACATTCCTGTAAAATAAAAAGGATACATCTATAAAAAAAGATTTAAGTATGTGCGTTTATAAGAAGAAGGCAATTTAGCAGTAAGTACGTGGACAAAATACGTAAATATATTTTAAATGTTTACCAATTTTAGATGGATTTTTGCCTATTTTTCATTAAATTCCATTCTCATTATGATTATTGACACCATCAACAGACAAAAGTTGACAGTCTTTTTGTACGTTTGATAGAAATCCTAGTTGTATATAAATAGATATTTTACATGGATTTTTAAGATTGTTATAGTTACTCATTTACTTTGGTAATTCTTTACTAATTAGAAGAAATTGTGAATAATAACTAAGGCTCCTAGCGTGATTTCTTAACGCATATGAATTACTTAAGACGTCGAATTCGAAGATGAATTATTGGAAACATAGAAATTATATAATTCAGTCGCAATTTGTTGATCCGAAACTAGATTATTTCTTGCATTCGCAATGTAGCTCTGCACTTCGGATGAAATAGACGATAAACTGCTTGAATTTTCGGAAATCCACGACTCTAACTGTATTAATGAGAGATAACGATCAATTAATCTTTATTCAATAAAAATAAGAGTGTAGTGTACCTTTTGAATTTCACTTTCGGAAGTCATCCTGTTTGCCNCCTGCATTTCTTTTGATAATATAATGTAATGTCAGATACAACAAATGCTTTTCGATACACTTATTAACATTTCTGTCGTATCTTTACAATAAAATAATTTCTGTGAGAATCAATCAACCTGCATAAGATATAGGTACATATATATGTATTGTATCTATAAATGTAATTTAAAATGGTACATAATTTGAAGATGTTGAGAAAGAATGTTCAGATATACTTAATTTTTGTAATAGTACAACGGACTTAGTAAAATAAGATAGTTTAGTTATAACTCCATTGTATACTACGTCCTGTTTGACCTGGTTTGATGCAAATAATAAGAGAGGAATTGGTTCAAAGATGGACTGCTGTCAAACCATAATAAACTTTTATTACAAAAGCTTATTCAATACTAAATGAATATTTCCTCCAAAAAATCATCTTCACGTAAAAAGCAAAGGCTAATTATATGTATATAAAAAGAAATATGCATTTGTATGTAAATTGTATTAATTATTACGTATGCAGAACAAAAAGTAGATTTCAGAAATATATTACAAGTAGCATTGAATTAACTGACTAAAGGATTTAGATAATATTAAGAAAAACAAACCTAGATAAAGAACTTGCTTATTAATGTTTGTAATATTGTTTAGATTTAGAATAAATAGATTCAGTTAATTAAAAATTCATATAAAAAGATTTTGTAGCTATAAAACGGCACTTATTCGTTTTTGTGATCCTGACTTATATTTGGATTTTTTCCTCTAATCTATTTATGGTTTACCTCCTCGTAAGTTTATTTTTAGTGAACACTGATGCAGCCGGAAGGATTTGTAGCTGCTTCATCTGTTTTTATTACTGTTTTTATCAGACCCATTTAACTATTCTCAAAGTGGTTATTTTTCGATGAGGTTTATAGGGTTTTCATAGGGTTTCACGAAATGACGAAATCTATTTGTTAGTGTCTCGTCTCTTACCGATTTTTCGGGACAATATCAAGGCGATATGCTTTTTAATTTTTTGAGATGTTATCGATACCAATAAGGCAAGAATATCGGTATTATTGGTCTCGATAAATGAATTTATTTACTTTTATCATCATCATCATAAGGTCGTCAGTCCTAAGACTGGTTGGACACGTACCTCCACTTTTTCCTATCCCAGCATCCTTCACTTTACCATTTCTCAATAGATAATCACCCGTTTAATTAATTATTTACTATTTTTCTGAAACGGCAATAACATAGTTTCTCCAACTTTCTTAAATGTTTCATGAGCATTATTTGTACTTTTATAACTTTAGTTGGTTCGCTTGTTGTAATAGATATAAAGCAAAAGGCTCAAAACAAAATCAAAAACATTTTACTGATAAATAGGTATGAACATATAATTATCTACTGAAACTTTTATTTACAAAAAGGAGAAGACCGAATCATTTATTGAAAAGTATGATGTGTTGTAGGAAAATTGGGAAAAAAAACACCAGCCATATTTTCGTATATGTAAATATGTGCAACATAAGAATGAAAAATGCCAACGAAGAAATGTGTCATTTCGTTCTGTGCAGTTTTTGTTTTTAATTGTATAATAAATACAAATATGTTTCAAACTTTCTAAGGTGTAAGATTTATAGTAAATCGACAATTGTTTCAATGGTAGCTTGTCATTTTGAGTAAATATACCTAATAAGCAATACGAGGTACCATAATTTTTACATATAATTAATCGTTATTCATCTAACGATAAGAAAAACCGTTGTGTAGGGTCTAAGTATACTCATTCGCTTGCTGAAACATATCGATAATCATCATCATCGTAAGGTCGTCAGTCCTAAGACTGGTTGGACACGCACCTCTACTCTTACCTATCTTGAGCCAATATTCGCATTTTCTCAAAACTAGAACAACTCACATCCTTAACTATCTGCGAGCAGTAATCTAACCTAGGTCTACCTCTACCCCCCCTAACTCCCGTTTCTGCCTCTAATATGTCTCTGACTAGACCTTCATGCCTGAGAAAGTATCTTATATCGATAAGAATGAACAACAAATACAAAACGTAACTCAAAATATGGAAAAGAAAACACTTGGTAGGGTTCATAAAACTGTCATTTATTCTGACGAATTCGTTTCGGTTTTTACACCATTATCAAAGGAGTATAAGTAAATACTAAACTTACCTTATACTCCTTTTATAATGAATTCATCAGAATAAATGATAATTTTGTGAAACCTACAAGCGTTTTCTTTTACATATTTTGAGTTATATTTGAAATATGTTTCACCAAGTAATTAATAGTGGCATTGTTACCCATAAATACAANTTATTAATATTATTAATAAATTAGTATGTTAAAATTTTTTCCGTTCTGTGATTTAATATAGTGTCATCTAATCGTACAATTCATATTTATCAAATGAAGATTGGACACTTTTTCAGATAGTAAGGAGGTTTTTTATAAAATACTATTAATCTGTTTCTTCTTCAAATTTTGAAATCAAAATAAGTTTGTTTATTTGTATTTCGGTTTTCAAGCTAATAAATTAGGCAGATTTTCTTTGCATTGCTCGGTTTTAACCGGGACATTTCAATCTTTTGTCAGTACGTAGGGACAGACAGGTTAATAACAGAGACATATTGGGACGGATGAAAACCCTGTATCTATCTACTCGGCGCGATTATTTCTTATTGCCTCTATTCTTTCTTCGTGCTCTTTGTGCGATTCTTTGTAAAAACTTCTCATTTTTGATACTTTTTGCCCATGGCATTTTTAATATCCACATCGTAAACGTTTCTAGCTTTTTTTCTGCAGCACCCATCGAGCACGTTCCACACTCATGCAGAGCCTTGCTTAATACGTACCTTTATTAAATTTTTTATTTTGTTTTTTTTTGGATTTTAAAATTAACCAATTGAGAGCACATAGGTAATTTCTTTTCTTTCTATTGAAGGGTTAAATTGAATGCATTAGTGAATGAATATTACCCGCTACAAATAACTTCAAATTAATAAGGAAAAATTATTGCTGCTGCCGAGAATCGAACACGGGCCCATGGTTTTACGCACCAGTACTCTCATTAATTTGAGGTTATCTGTAGTGGGTAAAGTTATTTCAAAAATTAAGTCGTTAGTGATTTATTTTGGTTAAAACGACGCGAACCTGCACTATTTTTTGTTATAATTTTATCTCTATTGCTTTTTCCACCCTAGCAAATTCGGCGACTTCTAAATTTTCGTAATCTATTACTGTATTAGTTCTAACCTTACTTCAATATACCAATAATATAATAATTTGCTTTTGTAAAATTTTCTGCACAGCCACCACTTAGTTGTGCTTGAATGAAAAATGCGCTGAGCATATTGCTGATAACGTTAATTTGTTACGTAAACCATCAAGGTTTTCTTCTTTTCATTAGTAGAATGGAGTTTGGTTTTTTGAATGTTAATACAGTAAAAGTTCTTCATTCGTGGGGTATCCGTTTCATAAATATGCCGCGAATACAGAAACCGTGGATATGGAATGTAATTAGTATGGAATCATAGGGGACACGTTCTAAGGTTCCGANGACTGGTTGGACACGTACCTCCACTCTTTCCTATCCTGAGCTAATCTAGAACAACCCACATCCTTAACTATCTGCGAACAGCAATCTAATCTACCCGTAAGAAAAATTTCCATTCTATTTCCGTTAAAATAATGCAATTTAATTACCACTGATAATAATTAATGTTAATAAATGGAGAATAGCCAATGGGATGAATGGAATTTCCACTAGAATTCTAGTGGAAATCCCATTCCCGAACTCAATGGGATTTCCATTCCTGAGCCCAATGGAAATCCTAGTGTCAATTCTTTATTTTTTACCTTTAATTATTGTTAGTGGTAATTAAATGATATTCGTTTTAATCAAGATGAAATATGAGGTTTTTTTTAACTTCTTAACAATCACATTAACTTCAGCACGTTTTTCTCCATTTATTTTAATAGGTATTAATCATCTCAAACCAGATCTTTTCCATTTTCAGGTATCCAATTGTTTTTCCATTTATATTGAATGGTGTTAAATAGAATTTATAAATTTTGCATTGGTTCCCATTGAAAATCAATGGAAATTTTTCGTATGTAAATATTAATGGAATTATTGTATATGGAAACATTTAATCTGTTGGGTTAACGAATCTCCATAAAATGACGTCGTAAGTCACTCGGTAATATCCTGCAAACAATTATTGTTCAATACATCAACCAATTATTATCGAGAAAGGATAATTCAGTTATAATTTGATTATTGTCAAAAGACTATACAGTGAAGTTGAACTTGTTGCAAAAATAATTATGTCCTGAAATAATAATAATAATATAATTTTGTGAAACATGTATTTTTCGTATTGTTGAGACGGATTTATAAGGGTTGAAATCTTTATTTTTTCAATCATGAATAGTTGAACGCTGTTTAATGGAAACAAGGCGGTTGATCATTGTTCCGTCGGCACTGTCTGCACGGTGTGCTGATGGAAGCAAAAAGCTTTGAAATCGCGATCTACATATACGACAGTTAGGACAAATCACTGCCTAAGAATTTCAAGTTTAGTTACCAGTTTGTTGAAGATTTAAAAGCACCCAACCGGATCCCCCTCGAAGGATATTAGAAATTGTTACGTTTTGTCCTGGTATCAACCAACGAGACGGTGTTGTGTTGTTGAAATTCTTTTCAAGGGAGGTGGTATAGGTAAGGGGTACGTACCATTCACTGGTCGATGATTCCGAAGGATCTAGTAGAAATTGTTTCTGAAAGATAATCTCTGTCTTAAATGTGTCCGTTCGGAAAGGATAATACAAGTATTTAGTTGAAAGAAAATTTACCTGCGATATGACCACGTCGTTACCAGATAAAGATACTGTCACCAAAGGGAAACCTCCCACGTCAGTCCAACTGCTTAAAATAGTCGCTAAGGATAATCCTGAGGGCAAGGATTGAGAGTAAGTTGACCATGCAGAATACAGTAGGTCGGGGGTTCCTGTTGCTAATTGGCTAAAATTGTAACAGAAAGAAATTAATTAAGTACTGTCTGTTAAAAATTGTGCAGGATAACTGTATTTTATTAATCTTTTTAATTCTTAAAATTCTTCGTCAATTTTGGCAAACAATTTTAATGAATTTTGCATTGCTCTTATTCCTTGAAAATACCCACAAACTTTTGAATGATTTGAATTTTGTTTCAAAAAGATTGTTTTTTTTTTCACATGGGACCAGTACATATTTTCAATTATCTATTACATGTCTTAGGGTTTAGGAATAACTCACTCATTGAGTAAACTTTCATTCCTGGAACATCCCAAAGCATCTACGATTATAAAAACTTCTGTAGCGAGAGTTTCTTCCGTTAGCTTGTTCCACAAATAATACCAGTCGCCAGAGTCATTAGAATGTCTCAAAGCTGTACAGTACACCGCAGTTCTTACATCCGGATTGACACTAAAAATTGATGTCGAAAAACTTTTGGGTTTTCGTTTTATAAATGTGAATGAATGAGAATGATGTTAATAAAATAAATTTGAAAAAGTGTTCCAATAATACAGATACTTTAACGAATGTAATGTTAACTCGAAAAAATTAAATAGTTTTTCATTGTTTTATGCCTCCTTAATCATTTCCATTCTCCTAATTAATAATTTGAAGCTCAACGGTTTCGTTTTTCTTTAGCATTAAATCTGTCTTATAAGCTTGAAACGCGATGAAAACTAATGCGATCTTATTTTTGTTAAACATTGTCNGAGGTTTGAAATTTTGTAGTAAGATAGATAAAGCTTTTTTCTAAAGCCTGTCGAAGGCCATTTTTTAATTTTTTAATTTCTATTGAAAATACGTGTCCTACAAGCAGCACTAACTTTAAGCACTTGTAAAAGCTTTTAATGACCACATTATTGAAAACCAAAAACGTACCGAGTTAGTGTGAACCTTTGTCTTTTACCATACAAAAAATCAGATATTTATCTCGCAGCGTTAAATAACAATGTTTAGAATAGAAACCCATGTTTTCCGAAAAATTTACACTAGGCACGAGCGGTCTATTGCGGTCAATCCCCTTAATAAATGACACCGAACCCTTATGTGTTGTACCGATTGCATTCGCGAATAATGAAATTTTTAGCCCCGAATACAGGAACTGGGTTGCAATTTTTTCACCAGCGAATAAGGAAACCGTAAATAAGGAACTTTTACTGTAAACGATTCATGTTCTGAGAGAATGAGAGTACATGTATACAGGGTTTGTTAAGGAATTCTTAAGAAAGTTATAATTCTAAGTACAAAAATTTAATTATATCTAAAGCGTGACACCTTTAATATACACATATCCATAAATGCAAACCATAATTATCCGAATAAGAAAACATTTGCCTATTGTTTTCCATTTTTAATTATTATACTACGCTCTATTGCACGTTAACTACAAGAATGCGTGCGTTTAGCGATAACCAATAGAAATTTATAAAACAATAACCGCGTTATCAATTCAATGGGGTCTGATTAGTACTATTTAGAAAAAGTGTTTTGCAATTACTGATAATTACTCACGTACGACTATTGTTTTTCATTTTTATTTTAAATTGGTGCGCTTTATTATCACGAACAAATATCGTTCGAAGGCTGGTCTTTTTTCGTTCTTGTTTGTTTCTAAAAATGCTAACAAACAATAAAATGTAACAAATAATCATTTTCAATTAGTTTAATTTGCTCTGTTATTATCCTAATTTGTAAAGCATAATAGGAATATGTTTTACATGTGGTTCGGGGTAATGTACAATAATGTAAAATTGTCGAATACAGTTTAAGTTCGTTTAAAAACTAATTAGATTTTACATTAGTTTGAAATTTATTACCATGTTCTACGGCGTTGTACATACCTATTGATAGTATCTACATATAGGTAATAAATTAAAGCAATCAAGCAGTTTAAAATAAATTTGTGTCGTTTGGGCATCATGGATACAATACCTGTAGTCCAGTCATTTAAGGTTTTTACCTAAAAATTCTTATGGACTGAACCGATCGACTTGAAAACGTAACAGAAAGTAGAAAATAGTCCAAAGATTGAAAGTTGTATAGTACCGAGGTGTACTCTCTTCCGGATGGGCAGAGGGAGGTAGGTGGTGAAGTGTGACTTTGTCGGAGGTGAAATTTTTTTTGTGTAAATAACTAATTCAAAAAGAACTTTAAAATGAGGTTTTAAAAAAGACATTTGGTTTAAAATAAATGGAGTTATGATGAAAATAAACTGTTAATCTCGATTTTACAAAGAAAAAATCAACAATTAAATCAACGGTATTAATTCAAAAATTGAAGTTGTGTTGATGTAACTCTTGGGCAGGAGTCTTAATTTAGATACCAATAATATGTCGTGAGAGTTTGACCAGCTTAAAATCAATAATTTACAAAAAAAGCTCACTCATAATTTTTTTGAAGTGAAACTTCTTTACGCACGGTAGGGTAAGTTCGTTTCATGCGAGTTGCTATGTAACGAAATCATGCAACGGACGTCCCCCCTCTACTCGGCCACGTAGTCGAGTTCGTAGTGGGGATCGCTTGAGCCGTGAGCGCGCTTCAATGCAACGTTCGTTACAGGCAACTCCGGCATGTATAGTGTAAAATTTAAATTCATAGTGTACAAATAATACCATTAAACCAATTCTTTAACTCCTATCCCGGTATGTTTGAGGAAGTTTCATTTGAGTAGCGTGTTGTATAATTACAAGTTGTATTTTTTTTTTAATTAAAAATAGGAAACAGTCTTTTATAAGCAATAACCTAAAAACGAAAGGGGATATTTTATTGTTTTTTATTTGTTACTTGAAAATGAAAACTGTCTGAGATATTGTTGTTTAAAGGTTGCATTTCAGTTCTCAAGTAAGTATCCTTTTTTAACCTTTTGAACTCTAAAATCTTTGAAACTAAGAATTCAATAAAATTACTTTTAGATGGTTTAGCTCCCGAAAAACTTATTTTTGTAAAATTTACGAAAGGGGTGGTTTATAATGTTTGAATGTATCCTAATATGATAATGGAAATACTCAGGGGATGATAGTTTAATACAAAATAAATCAAATGAAACTGCAGAAGGTCTTCCGGCTAGGAAAGCAAATTAGTTTAGCACGGATGCCTCACACAAAGGTTTAGTTAGTAATGAAAAAGTGGATGCAGCAGCAAAAATAGCAACACGAGATGAAATAAATCTCGAATTGGTTCTCACTACAATAGAGAACTTCAATAAATTCGTAGAAGGATATATCTGATGTAAATGGAATATCGGATGGAGAAATACAAAATCTAAATTTCAGCTGGTCAGAGAATATATCTGGAGCAAGACACCTGAAATCAGAAAAAGAAAACAGCAGTGTATCCTCACTAGACTCTCATTTTACACATGGAGGTTACATTTCAAAATCTACAATCAATGCCCGAAATGTAGTCAGCCAATTTCCATTCCCATCTGTTAACGGAATGCGAACAAACAGAATTTAACAGAAGTAACCTCCCAAACTAAATCATCTTCATCATAAGGTCGTCAGTCCTAAGACTGGTAGGACACGCACCTCCACTCTTTCCTATCCTGAGCTAATCTTCGCATTTCCTAAAACTACAATATCCCACATCCTTTTGTGAACAGTAATCTAATATCTACCCCTCCTAACTCCAGTTTCTATCTCTAATATGTCCTTGACTAGACCTGTATGCCTGAGAAGGTGTTCTACCAATCTATCTCGCATATTTTTAATTGACATCCAGAGTCCTCTGTTCTCCTATTCTTTCTAATACCTCTTCATTTATAACCTTCTCTATACACGGTATCGTCATAATTTACCGGTAACACCACATTTCGAACGCTTCCTACCTTTTCTTTCCCGCCGCTCCCACCGTCCATGTTTGGCACCCGTACAGCGCTGCGGTTCAAACATACACCTTTAACAATCTAAATTAATCGTTCGCGAGCATAGAAGTGACTTCTTTTTATTGAAGGCGACTTGACCTTGCGCTATCCTCTGCTTTATATATATCTACTACTCCTTCCGTGCTGACTTATCTGACTTCCTAGATACCTCAAAAAGAGTAATTTCTAATTTTTCGTCTCCTTTCTTATATTGGCCCTTTCCCTAGTTTTTCTTCCCTCGCATAACAATAAGTATTTTTGTTTTACTTTAATTTATTTTTATGGCTGATGCTATATTAACTAATTAAAAATAATAATAAAAAGATTTTATTAGGGTTTTTCGCGTCATCACTGAGCATCCTTCAATTTACTAATTAGTCTAGGAAACTATGATTAACGCCTCAAATGTGCCTTCATTTAAAACGTCTGGTCACCCTTATAGGTCATGCTACATACCCGATCTGCGTGTAACTGATTTGTCCTACAGGTCAGGTTACTCTCAACTTTTTTACCACACTGTGCTAGAACACTTACTTCGCCTTGGACGTGGGTGAATAAGCGACACCGCTGATATTTCAGCCCCTGTCAAGGTTCTCATCATGCGAGTGACACTAAAGGTGTCTGCACCAAGGTTGCCTCCCTTTAAACAGTTTACCTAAGTCTGTGGGAGTAAATTCTTCTATCACGAAAGTATGGCCTAGAGGTCTAGACCATTGCTTAGCATTCGGGAGGACGCCGGTTCGATTCCGGGTCCGTCTGCCTTGGGCCAAGCTTTTCTGTGGTTTCCTTGGATCACTTAAGCAAATGCTGAGGCAGTAATATTCCACAGATAATCTTTCACTCTCTTCTGTCTTCATTTCGTCCGTCTCATCTTTCTCACCCGAACCACCACCCACCCATTCCCACGATTCCTGAAACCAGGCTGAAGAGGGCCTTCCGCCCTACCTTCCGGCACAGTCCGGAGGGACTGCCCGCCCACCAGCATTACTGGCTGGTGGGAATGAAACACCCAAAGTTTAGCACGTTGGCATGTAAAGTTAACCGCACCGAGCGGCATGGCCTAGAGGTTTAGATCATTGTTTAGCATTCGGGAGGAC